AGTGCTGTGGCATCACAGCTCACAGCAACCTCAAACTCTTGGGCTTAAGTGATTCTCTTGCCTCAGCCTCCCAAGTAGCTGGGACTACAGGCGCCCGCCATAATGCCCAGCTAGCCTGGCTATTTTTTGGTTATAGTTGTTATTGTTGTTGTTTGGCTGGCCCGGGCTGGATTCAAACCTGCCGGCTCTCGTGTATATGACTAGCACCTTAGCCGCTTGAGCTATAGGTGCTGAGACAATACTTAATGTTTTATCAAAAAAGTTTATATGGGTGGTACCCATAGCTCAGGAAGTAGGGTGCCGGCCACATACACCCAGATTGGCTGGTTCAAACCCAGCCTGGGCCAGCTAAACAACAATGATAACTATAACAAAAAAATAGCCGTTAGCTAGGCGTTGTGGCAGGCGCCTGTAGTCCCAGCTACTTGGGAGGCTGAGGCAAGAGAATCGCTGAAACCCAAGAGTTTGAGGGTGCTGTGAGCTGTGATGCCACGGGACTCTACCAAGGGCAACATAGTGAGACTCTGTCCCAAAAAAAAAAGAATAGCCAGGCATTGTGGCGGGTGCCTATAGTCCAGCTACTTGGGAGGCTAAGGCAAGAGAACCACTTAAGCCAGTGGTTCTCAACCTGTGGGTCGAGAACCACGGGAACTTGTATTAAAGGCTCACAGCATTAGGAAGGTTGAGAACCATTGGCTTAAGCTCTAGAGTTTGAGGTTGCTGTGATGTCATGGCTCTCTATGGAGGGTGACATAGTGATACTCTGTATCAAAAAATTTAAAAAGAATTTTTTTTTTGTTTGTTTTTGAGACAGAGTCTCAAGTTGTCACCCTCAGTAAAGTGCCTTGGTATCATAGCTCACAACAACCGAGACTCCACTCAGTCTGAATTGAGTCAACAACTCAGACTCAAGCGATGCTCTTGCCTCAGTTTTTCTATTTATAGTAGAAATGGGGTCTTGATTTTGCTCAGGCTGGTTTCGAACTCATGAGCTCAAGCAATCTACCCATCTCAGCCTCCCAGCTTGCTAGGCTTATAGGCATGAGCCACGTGCCGGGTGATTATCAAAAAAGTTTTATTGTAGTTTTTTGGCCGGGGCTGGGTTTGAACCCGCCACCTCTGGTATATGGGACCGGCGCCCTACTCCTTGAGCCACAGGCGCCGCCCTATCAAAAAAGTTTTGAGATAACTGTGCTCAGTTCCCCTCCTCTGGGCACATGGCGATTGTCCTTTTTGATCCTTAAGTAAAACTGAGAGAAGCCAAAGACTTCTTTTGGGTGCCCTCAAACAATCCTATGTGCAGGTACTCAACTTCACTCAGCCCATTGAGTGCCTGTGGCTGCCCCAGGCCGGGTTAATAGTTTACACTCAATAAAATGCATCACCTGATATGCTGGGGATAACCCCTTATCCTGGAATAAATCAGAGTGTTTCTCTGTGTGTTATTCCCAAGGCTCAAGAGAAACACAAACCAAACCTTTCGAATGATGAAGATCATCCACATGAACGGGCCTTATTTGAACTGAACTCTCATGTCCTTCGGGTTTCTTTGCTGCCTAAAATTCAGTTAAACTGATTTGCTCTTTTTCAAGTTGATTTTTTTCCATGTTACATATGTAAATTGCCATTAGACTTTAAATTATATTTCTCAACAAAATTGCGTTACATTCTTTGATGTTTGTAATTCAAGCTAACTTTGAAGAAAAAAAATTGCAAGTTTTTCCTATTCTGAGTAATCATTTTAAAGAGCAGTAACTATGTCACCTAGGTTTGAAGACCAGAGTACTTTATTAAGCCAGGATTGATGTGTCTATTACAAATCGTGCAGATTTCTGCAGCCCATCCACAAGATTGACATGAACCTCACTGATCTTCTTGGGGAGCTGCAGAGGGACCCATGGCCCGTAACACAGGGGAAGAGACCTTTGCGGTCCACAGGTGTTGCCTTGTCCATCGCTGTTGGCCTGTTGGAGGTAATTCAGAATTTACTAGGACCTCTCAAATCATGCCTACTTGCTCTCCAAAAATGTATTTTTTGGCTTTGTTTGAAAATCACTTCTGACCCACCATGCATGGAAAACATAAGGGCATTAGAGCAATTGGAAGTGCTCACAGCAAATTAATAAAGGTGTATAAATGTGAGGTTGGAAGATTGGGTGCTGCTTTTCTGCATCACATGTACTGTCCTATAGTGTCTCCAGTGTTAAGAACAGCTGCAGAGTATGGGGAAATTAAAACCATACTTGGAGGAGGGCTGTGTACTTTTAAAATGTTGCTATTCACTATTTTAGGGCACGTTTCCAAACACGGGAGCCAGGATCATGCTGTTTACTGGAGGTCCCCCTACCCAGGGGCCTGGTATGGTTGTTGGAGATGAATTAAAGATCCCTATTCGGTCATGGCATGATATTGAGAAAGATAATGCACGTTTCATGAAAAAGGCAACAAAGGTATGTGCTCTTGGTTATAGGCTGCGATTGTGGCAGCCCTCAGTGACAGGGCAGCTCCTTTGATGAGGCCATGCGTTGTGGTCAGCACAAAGCTCTTTCAGAGACAGTCTTCCCGATCTTGGCTGCTGTTAAGTTACTGCCCCTGCTTTTAGACTTTAGCTAGAGTGAGTATACTTAAAACTGCTTAAAAAAGCAGTGCCTGTGGCTCAGGGAGTAGGATGCCAGCCCTGTATACTAAGGGTGCTGGGTTCAAACCCGGCCCGGGCCAAACTGCAACAAGAACAACAAAAAGTAAAGTCTTGAAAAAAGAAAATAACTAAAACAGCTTAAAAAGTTTTGAAATTGAAAACTTTTTATTTTATTTGGGTGTTTTAGAGAAAATGATTTCCACATTCCTATATCTGATTACATCCTTTGTTATGGTCAGGCATAGCTTGGGAATAGCGTTATTGTTTATTAAAGATCGTTTTCCTCTCTTCACAGCACTATGAGATGCTTGCTAATCGAACTGCTGCAAATGGTCACTGCATTGATATTTATGCTTGTGCCCTTGATCAAACGGGACTCTTGGAGATGAAGTGTTGTGCAAATCTCACTGGGTATGTGACAGTGAACACGCAGG